CTATTTCTATAGCGCCACATCACAACAACAGTTGTCTCACAGCTTTCCAAACAGAGAAGCTCCACAGCAAAGCGCAGCAGCTCAAATGTCAAATGAAACCACCATGCGGAGGCGGCTGGTTAGTAGCTGCAAACCAACATCTGGATCAAACATAAACCTCTGGAGTTTCATTTGAAGCTTTTTCTAGTGAAGCCGCTTTGGTTCGTTTCTCAGTCAGAGCGACACCCGTCTGACAGAGATGGAAAACCACTCGGATATTAAAGCTCTGGAGGAGAGGAAGACGCCGGTGCTGATAAGTGGATTTCAGGAAATGACTTAAGGATGTTTAATTTGTCTAAAGGAAAAAGCTCGTTCTTAGGAGGAAAACGGAGCCGTTCAGCCCGTTTCAGCACATTTAAAGATTCAGCTCCCTGAATGAATCCTAAATTTCTTAAATTTTTAAGCGGTACTTTTGCCAGTTAGGAGTTTTGTGCCTTTCTGAGTGAATGCCTGCAGCTTTTGTCTCATTCTTGGAGCACTTTCCATTATTCCTGATAAGAATCTGAGGCTGTGGCGTTTGAATGGGACCAACATGGAAACAATTAGACTTAATAAACAGAGAGAAAAAAGGTGCAGGATTGCTTTTTCTTGTGCCTTTTTGGGCTTGTAAAGAACATTTAATCCATCAGACGTGTGATGGTAACATGAGAAAAACCTGTTGGGAACATTTCTTTGTGTTAATGCAGAATAAAGAGATTCCTAAATGGCTTGGACGCCTTTCGGGAGGTTGATAAGGAAGCTGCGGCCGTCACTTATGCCTAAATATTCATGCAGGAAGCTGCTGGCTGAACTAAAGGAATGCACTGACTTACATGGGAAACGTTTCATCACTGTAAGCTCCGTTTGGTCTGTTTAGATGAAACCAAATCCGTCTCCAAAACAGAAGCTAAGAATACAGATAAAGCTTCTCCTAAATGCCTCAGATTTACTCATATGAGACACTTTGGGGAAAAAACCAAATCGGTAGTGACCACATGGGTGTAACAGAGTATTTGCTGGTTTGTTTCAGCTCAGTGTGCTCATTTGAAAGCTTTCAAAATAAAAGTCTCCCTTTTAAGTCAGCACTTTCCTTTGCACAGTAAAAACTAGCCTCCTGCAGACGTTGAAGCAGGAAAAGTTCAGTTTAAACTCATCTGAACCTCAGCAGGAAATATCAGGTCAGCGGGGGGGGCGAAAACGGATGGAAAAAAGAAGATCAGATGGAGGTTAGATGGTTACTT